ACCCTGCACTTGCATGGGAGACGCGAAGGAAACTCCTGTCTCCTGGCTTCGGATCTGCTCAGCTCTGGAGGTAACAGCCACTTGGGGCATGAATCAGCAGGTGGAAAGTCTTTCTCTCCTACTCTCTATATATCTCCTTTTCCAATAAAAAAATAAAATAAATCTTTAAAAAAAAGTTCTTGCAACATCTGCATCTCCTGTCCTAGTGCCTGGGTTTGAGTCAAAGACTTGAAATCACTACTGTTTCTGTCTTTCAAATTAGTAAATGTAAAAGTGTAAAAATGCTACTCCTTTAAAAAAAGATTTCAGCTATGAAGATGTATTAGGATAAAATTACATCAGGTAGAGTGAAGGTGGAGAGATAATTAGTAATTTTCTACCTATTAAAAAGGAATCATTTATGAATTTTTAAAGATTATCAGGAAGGGAGAATGAAAGGCAGAGATCCCTCATGAACTGGTTTACTCCTCAGACCTTCCAGTAGCTGACTTTGGACCATGCAGAAGCTGAAAACCAGAATCTTAGGCTCAGATTCTGACATGAATATCAAGGACTCAGCTACTTGAGGCATGGCCTGCTGCCTCCCAGGGTGCACACTAGTAAGAAACTGGGATTGGAAGCCTCCCCAGAGCTCAAACCCAGACTTTCCAATATGCAGGATTCCCAAACATCATCTTATCACCCAGACCAAATACCCAACCAGTGAATTTTTAAATTGATAGTTAGGAATATCAGAATCATTCTGATATTTGGGTTTCACTGGGAAATTTTAAAAAGTGGCATAATTTGCATTTTAAATTTTTTATTTTTACAGTGTGCCAGAAATGGCATCCTTAAATATTACAAAATTTTGATATGTACCTAAAATGTATCTTCAGGTACATTTTTTTTTCAGAGTGTGAATGGATTCTGTCATATTTTCAGGTCAGTGATTTTATGAATCCCAACTGTGTCCTCTGCTGCTACACTTTGCCTTTCTCTGGACTTCAGAAGCAGTAAATGGAGCAGCTTCAGACTTCATAATCATGAGTCTTGGGAGGAAGTCTGCAGTGTGATGCTTGCCACTGTCTTCTTGAGCCTTATTCTTCATTATGTACTACTTAAAGGGCTATTTGCTCACTGATCCAACTTTGAACTTCAGTAATCCCAGCGGTTCCATCCCCAGGATGCAGTTTACCCAGGGAAATTGCAGAGAGGTGTTTTTGTGGATGTGGGGGGAGAAGGGAAGTCAATGGCAAGTTGGTGTAGGGGAGCTGTGACACACTGTAACACACACCCAGTTTGCTTTCTCAGAGCTAGGAAGCCTCAGCATAAGCAGACTTTTCTTTGCACTGGACCTGTCACAACTGGTCCAATGTACAGCATATGACAAATTATTGTTAGGGTTCATGGGCTTGTTAAAGGGAGCTCAGGGGCACAGGCACTAGGAGAGAGTTGGAATGGAAATTCTCTGTTCTTGCCCATGTGTACCTCCGGTCCTTACCTCTAAAATGTGGGTCATGATTGGCTTTCAAGGTGATGTAATGGTTCTTGGAGGTAAGCATGCAAAATGCACATTGTAAACATCGATCAGTAATTTGCACGAAGTGTCAGAAGAAAGTGGCACCTGTTGATTGGGTTATACATAGAAAGGCTTCCTCGGGGAGTTGTAGCCCCTTGAAGGGAAAACAGGAAGGCAAGAAAAGGTCATCCCAAAGAGAGGGAGACTTGTAAAGGTTCAAGGAATTTTTTGCAAGACATTCAAAGAGCTTAGTAGAGGCTATGTGCAGCAATTTTACATATTCTAATTAAGGCCTTTTGTTTTGGTAAGATATTTCTGTGTATTTCTGTCTCGATTTTTAAAATATGATTGAACTTTCCAACCCCAAAGTCTTTTTAGTGGCTTCTCATCACTTTTAAAATGCAGAAACTTTAGCATATTATACCTAGTCTGTATAATCTTCTGCAATCAGTCACGTTGGGCAGCTAATTCCTCACACAACCATAGTTGTCTTTGTACCTATGTGCCTGTACATGTGCTGTTGCTTTTGTCCTGGGGTATGTGTCCTCATTTTCTGCTACTCATGCTTTAAAATCCAACACGTTGCATACTATGCAAAATTAAAATATTCTTAATGAAAAAAAATCCTCTTAAAAGATTGCTTGAAAGGAAATCCACAATTAGTCATAACCTTTATTAAGAGGTCTGAAAGAAATAGAACTAAATGGTGAGACATTTGTATTCAGTTAAAGATATTAATCTTCTGCAAATGTAATGCTTTTAATACTTCTGTAGTCCTAGTTGGGGTTACTATACCTCTATCCATGAATATTTAACAAATTATCTTTAGCTGACCAATTAATGCTAAAGTTCATGTCAGCTCTCTGCTTCTTGCCTCATCCTATGATCCAGTCTTTTCCATCCACTTTCCTTTTTAAATGCCAACCCAATGAGGCTTAATGAGGCTTACTGTTCCTGGACTAAGAACATCCAACACTAAAAAACCACCAATTCTTTTGATTTGGGTTACTTTTTTGGCCACAGTGAGACATTTCTATCAGCCTTCATTTGCACTTGTCACTTCCATGGTGATTCTATGTAGAGGATCTTAGCTCATCAAGTTTAGCAACACTTGCTCATGTAGAATGTGCTGATGGGTCTTACCCATGGTAAGATCAAGCCAACAGTGTTCTCACAGGTTTCTCAAAAAACTACACCAGCAATGAGGGCTACAAAAACTTCCTGTTATTGAACCTGCAACCGACGTTTTCATAATTGGCTGTTTATTCTAAAGCTCCTGTCAGTAATTCCTGCCTTGTTAACAGTTACATTCTTCCATACACAGCCTCTCCTTCTGAATCCCTTTCCAGCCCTGAACTGTCTTTACGAGGAAGGTGGAAGCTTGGTGCTGGCATCCAAATTATCAGATTTGAGATTTAGTATTTGTTACCCATCTTATCAGTTTTAAAAATTAACTCTTTGATCTCAATAATCTAGTAAGTCCTAACAATGTGTTCTGCCCTTTATTAGCTAGGCGGTAGGCATCTGATGTAAACCAATCCACTGCAGTGTGTAAAAAAGTTTCTGACCATTCCTCTCTTACTCATGGCTCACAACACTGGATACATTTTGCCCTACTTAGCAAATAACATTAGGATATTCTGCCTAAAGCTTTGCAACACTAGTATTCACAGATCTTTTATTTTTGAAGGAGTTCCCAAAGGGTACCCCTGGGAACCAACAGCTTTGATGTGGCTCAAACGCTTAGAAATGTGAACAGCTGGTTCTACCTAAGACCTGTTTCAAAAACTGCATGGCCCAGTTTTTTTTTTAAGGCTTTTATGCACATTAAAATTTCTGAGTCCCTTTATTTTCATCCTAAAAATAGCTGAAACCAGAAAACCAGGTGCTTGTGACACAGTCCAAATGGAGAGGCGTTGAAAAGAGAAAGCAGTCCCACATGTTCACCCTAGATTGAAATTCACACAGCATACCTGCAGTCACAGGTGTTACACTTCAACCCAGCCATTCCTCACATAGGCAACTCCAGGGTGAGTAGCAGCTGGAATTTATTTAATTGACCATGGTTAATGAGGCTTCTGAATAACTCAGCTAGAAAGGTCAGCTAGGAAATAAATTAAATATTTCCTGCTGCATCATCTGTCAGTTGATGTGAGCTTGTGATTGTCAAGAGATCTAACTGTAGGACTGAATACAAATTTAGGCAAGTACGGCTGTAGGAGGCTAAGTCTGAACCGTTTGTGTATGATTTTTAAGTCATCCTTGTGTGTGCAGCATCTGAGCACTCAATGCCTCATTAACTCCATTACTGTAGAATTCACTGCGGAAAACATTTCATATCCTCATCAGAGGAAAACATTATCACCGATTGTTTCAAACACCCTCTTTTGATAATACTTTTCCCTCCAACATTAATTGTTGATTTGAGAGCCAGTGTTGTAGAGAAAGTAAAGCCACTGCCTGCAACTGGCATTTCGTGTGGGATACTGGTTCAAGTTCTGGCTGCTTCACTTCTGATCCAGCTCCTTACTGATGTACCTGGGAAAAGCAATGGAGAATGACCCAAGTTATTTGGCATTTGCACCCAAATGGGAGACCGAAAGAAGCTACTGGTTCCTGGCTTTGGACTGGCTCATTTGGGGTATGAGCCAACAGATAGAAGACCTCTATATTTCTCTGTAATTCTGCCTTTCAAAAAATATAGACTTTCCTTAAAAAAAAAGTTGCTGTGAGGCTGGTGCAGTGGAACACCCTGTGATGCCAACCTCCCTTATAGATGTCATTTCCTGTCCTGGCTGCTGCACTTCCCATCCAGCTTTCTGTTTATGCTCTGAGAAAGCAACAGAGCGTGGACCAAGTCCTTGGGTCCCTGCCACCACGTGGGAGACGCCGAAAGATGCACCTGGCTCTCAGCTTTAGATCAGCTCAGCTCTGGCCATTGTACCATTTCAGAAATGAATCAGCAGATGGAAGACCTTCTCTATTTCACTCTCTCTGTAAAACCTGCTTTTCAAATAGAAAATAAAACTTTAAAAAGTTGCTGCTTTTAAATTTTGCCTGTAATCTAGATATTCTTCTGCACAAAGAGTGATAGAGAAGAATTCATTTTGGCAGATGTAGAGTTACATAAACTCAGGTCACATGTTGTGGCAAACTGTTCTGCAGGGAGAAATGAGCCTGATGTGGTGAGGCACCCCTTCTCTGCAGAACTTAAGAAAATTCAGTAATTATACTACAATATTTTAGTGATCAAAAGTAAATTTTAAAAAGCTACAGTGAATAGAATAGCAAACTTTTGAAAGAAAGACAGGATTATAACAGTGCTGGGTTGAGTTATATCAGAGCCTCATGATGCAAAATGACAAAGTCAGGAATATTGTTCCTGTTTTTCAAAATCATGGATTTGTGGAGTGTTAAACTAGAATTGCATTCATTCAGTAACACAAAACTGTATTGATGTGTGTATATAAATATCGCTGTGTCTTTTTTGCATTTCTAGGGATATCCTAATATCTCCCTCATGCTGGCAATATGCTGTCCTGCTCAACAGATTCAATTACCCTTTTGAAATGGAGAAGGATTTACATTTGAAAGGCTATCACAAGCTCTTTGAAGGATCTTTTCCCTACTCTCCTAAGTCCATGAAGTGTTACCTTAGCAGAACTCCAGACCGGATGCCTTCAGAAAGACATCAAATTGGAAATCTGAAAAAATACTATCTTTTAAATGCTGCTTCTCTTCTCCCAGTACTGGCTCTGGAAGTACAGGATGGGGAGAAGGTCCTGGATTTGTGTGCTGCTCCTGGTGGGAAATCAGTAGCGCTACTACAGTGTGCTTATCCAGGTAGTGTGTTTCAGCCTTTAAATGTCCATATGTTATAAATCACCTTACAATGTATTGGTGAAGAAATAAAGATTGACTTTGCAAATGTAGGAAGCCTGAGAACCATGAGCCTATGGAGAAGAATGAAGAAATCAGTAAGTATAACTAAACATCTTGTTCAAGCTGCTTAATCCTACTAGGTAATTGGGAACAAAACTGCAGTTTTTAAACACAAATATGTCCAATAATATAAATGCTGATAAGCCCATGAGAGAGATTTTAAAATTTTGTTATTTAGTTTCGTGTGTGAGAATCTTATATTCTGGTCATACTTCTATACAACAGAACAAAAAGGCAAAGTGACACATGGAGAGAGAAAGCTCTTCTATCCATTGGGGTACTGCCCAAATGGTTCCCATGTCCAGAGTTGTGCCAGGCTGAGCCAGGATCCCTGAATGCCATCTGGGTCTCCCTCTTAGCTGACATATTCCCAAACCTACAGCAGCCAGGACTTGAACCAACAGTGTAATTGGGATGCTGCTACCCCAAATGGTTCAGCATGCTGCTTGGCAATACCAGGCTCACATTAGCAAAACACCACCATTTGCTTTTGTAACCTTGAACCACAACTTTCCTCCTTGTTTTCTTTTTTTTTCTCTTTTTTTCTTTTCTTCTCTCTCTCTCTCTTTTCTTTCTCCCTTTCTTCCTTCTTTCCTATCTCCCTCCCTTTTTTCTTTCCTTCCTTCCTTCTTTCTTTCCTTTTTCTCCTTTTTAAGATTCATTTTTATTGGAAAGGCATATCCGATCCACACAGAGAAGGAGAACTAGAGAGAAAGATCTATCCACTAGTTCACTCCCCAGATGGTCACAACAGCTAGAGCTGAACTGATCTGAAGCCAGGAGTTTCAGATTTCCTATGCAGCATGCAGGTGCAGAGTCCCAAGGCCTTGGACCATCTTCTACTACCTTCCCAAGCTATAAGCAGGAAGCTTGGTGGGAAGTAGAACAGCTAGGACATGAACTGGCATCCATATGGGACCCCAGCCCTTACAGGATGAGGATATTATCACTAAGCCATTGTGTCAGGCCTGAACCACATATTTCTAAATCAGTTCTGTCCAGTAGAAATATAACGTGAAGTACATATTTAATTTAAAATTGTTGAATAGTACCATTACAAAGATGAAGCTCAATTGAATGATGCATTATGACCCAGTATATTGAAAATATTGTTTCAGTATGTAATTAAAATTTAAAAATTTAATGAGTTGAAATTCAGTCTCTGGGGTCAGGTCTTCCATGACTTCATGTACAGCCTTGCATGTGCACAGGGTGGCCTCTGCTTTTCGTCTCTACTGGGATGCTTGCCAGGCATCCAGATCAACAGCAGCCCATATGTGGAGAGAGCGTGGCTGCTTCCCAGGGTGTGCATTAGCAGGAAGCTGGATTGGAAATAGGGATAGCAGATCAAACCAACCACTCTGACAGGGGAAGTAGTGTTCCACGTGACATTTTAATTACTATGTAAATGCTAGTCCACTCCCCTCAGTTTAAATCTATTTCATGTTTCTTCGAGAAAATATCAGTTATTGCTAAATAAGTTGTTGATTCTGAGTTTTGTTTGATAACTTTGAAGATACAAATTTTGTTGTTCACACAGATAAGCAGATGTAAATAGAGACGAATGCGTTGCAGTAGTTTCAGTATTTATTTAATTTTCTGAATTATAACCCCATCTCATATATGGACTTTCATTAAGCATTATGTCAGTATTAATTTTTTTCAATCCATTTTTCAATTTGGGGAAATGGAAAGAATTTGACACCATCTTAAGTGTAAGCAGCAACCTTGCCTAGTGGCTAGATTTACTCACATTCTTTTGGATTTAGGGCTTTGTTTTTAAGATTGATTTATTTGAAAGGCAGAGTTAGAAAGAAAGAAGGAAAAGTGACAGAAAGATCTCCCATCCTCTGGTTCACAGCCCAAATGGCTGCAGTGGAGCCAGGGGCTGTATCTGGGTCTCCCACGTGGGTCCGGGGGCCCAAACACTTGAGTCATTCTCTTCTGCTGTCTCTGGCCATTATGAGGAAGTGCAGCAATTGAGACTTGTATTGATATCTGCATTGAATGCTGGGACTCCAGGCTGAGGTTTAGCTTGCTACACCACTGTGCCAGCACTGGATCATTCACTTTCTTAGCCTGTGTGCTAACTTGCTTTTTTTTGGCATTCTGGATGTCTGTCCACTTTGTCATAACTTGCCTTACCAATGTTTTCTATGGCTGGTTGCTTGGTTTTCATTTATAAAGTTGGAGATGCCCTACTTGTCACCTCTTTTAGGAAGCAAGTGGCTTGAAATTACCCTACCCTTCTTATCCTTAGAAAATATGTATTTGTAAGGTAGGTGTACATACTACAATTTGAAGGGTGATAAGTTTTAATTTCTTTGAGAATATTTCTTGTTGAAGAAATTTTAAGAGAATTCCTCAAGAGTATAGCTAAGGACTATGAACAATAATCAGATCCCAAAATGTCAGTTTTGCTGACATGTGTGAATATGTATCTGTGTGAATATACATATGTGCATACATATATATATATATGGCATTTTATTGTAGTTTGTATAATAGTTACCACTAATCAGAGATTATGTTTGTCATTTGTGACTGGTTTGTTTTCATAAGCCTAATGGTTTCCAGTTACATCAATTTTGTTGCAAAAGACAAGTTTTTTCATTCTTTAATATAGCTGAGTAATATTCCTTTGTATGTATATATATATATATATATATATATATAACATGTTTGCATATTCCAGTCATCTGTTGTTTCTTTTTTTTTTAAGATTTATTTATTTATTGGAAAGTCAGATATGCAGGGAGAAGAGACAGAGAGGAAGATCTTCCGTCCAATGATTCACCCCCCCAAGTGAGCGCAACAACCGATGCTATGCCGATCCAAAGCCAGGATCCAGGAACTTCTGGGTATCCCGCACAGGTGCAGGGTCCCAAAGCCTTGGGCTGTCCTCCACTGCTTTCCCAGGCCACAAGCAGGGAGCTGGATGGGAAGTGGAGTTGCCGGGATTAGAACCGGCGCCCATATGGGATCCTGGCGTGTTCAAGGCGAGGACTTTAGCTGCTAGGCCACGCCACCAGACCTCATCTGTTGTTTCTTTATCCAGTTATCCTTGATGGACGTCTAGATTGATTCCATGTCTTAGCCCTTGTGACCTGGAAATAGGTACCTCTTTCATATGCTGATTTCATTTCCTTTGGGTTAATTCTGGAAGCGAGAAGCCTGGATTTTCAGATTTGCAGATTTCTGAGGGTTTTCCATACTGTCTTTCCTCTTCATATCATCACCATCATTTATCGTTTTTTGAGTTTTAGATAATAGCCATTCTTACAGGGGTGAGTTGAAGTACCATTGTGATTTTATTTGCATTTTCCTGCTGGGTTAGTGATCTTGAACATTTTCTTCCATGAGTTTGTTGGCCATTCACATAAATTTTAATGAGACGTGCAAATCCATTTGTGGTTGTCACCACATAGAAGAAATATATTGTATATTATAGTCTCCGCTAAAAACTCTATTATTGAAGTGTAGGAAATCACAGCAAACTAGATTGTGTTATAAGGTTACCTTGTTATTTTTGTATATTCAGCTGAAGTTCTATGGACTCATGTATTATAAATAGGAACTCGTGTTTGTTTTTACTTCCTCATTATATTGGTTGCTGTAAGGTTTATATTCATTAGTTCTTGATATAGAAGTTTTAGTATTATAAAAGATGGAAAAGGAATGTCAAATTAGGATACTTTCTTAAAGAGAGGACATTCTAACTTTAAATTATCTTTATTAGTAGGCTGTAAATATTTTACACATTTATGGTAGGGAAGTTGATTTGATGAGGAACCCAAAGACTAACTGATAAATTCTGGGAGTTTAAAGTGGGGAAGAAATATTCCTATTCATACATCAAGGGCAATGAACCACAGGCATGTTTCAAGGAAAGTAGCTTTTTGTCTAAGTAGGACTAATGATAATGGTTCGCTAAGAAGTACAGATGTCTTCATGCTGATGCTTAAATTTCAAATTAGGTTAGCTACAGTGCTTGAATTTGGAATGTAGAAGCAATGCTAATCAAAGCTTTTATAAGCAAACTTAATGTGATGATGGCTGCCCTAAGTGTGCATTTTAACACCAGATTTCTTCGGATTAGAACTGGACTTTTTCTGGGCCAAGAAGGTCAGAGCTTCAGATGATTAAAAATCTCATGTTTAGGTTGATTTTTAAAAATTAGTCTACTTTTCTGACAGTGTAGCTGGTTTCCTGGCTCAGTGATAAAACTGACAATTTTTTTTTTTCTCAGCCTGTACTCTAGAATGTCTTTGCTTACACAGAAAATGGCCAGTAAGTTTGGTTCTTTTTACCCGCAGATTTATTTTATCTATATGAAAGGCAGAGTGACAAAGCGAGAGAAAGAGATCTTCCATCCACCAGTTTACCTCTCACGTGGCTACAGTGGTTTTGGCTGGACTAAACTTAATCCAGCACCCCGGAACCCCATTCTGGTTTTCCATGTGGGTGGAAGGGCCCAAGTCCTTGCAGCCTTTCCCACTGCATTCTCTCGCACATTCCCTGGAAGCTTAATTCAAAGTTGCTGGAACTCAAACTGGCACTGCGGAAAGGAATACCAGCATGTCAGCAACTAAACCCAATGCATCACTGTGTTAGTCCCACATTTCTTTTTCTAAATAGAGTGAGTAGAGTAGGCAGACCCAGCTAGGAAATGTGATTGAGTCAGCTTTCTTGCTGAAAGTTATGTCTCTTCCTGCATGAGATTCTCTTGGGTAACAATTTTTAAGGTCTGTATAGGCTTTGATAGTTGAGAACGTTAGACACTCTGCTTTTTGTGTGTGAACGGCTTTTGCCCTCTCCCTTAACTGTTTCCTTCTCCACGGAATTGCACGTTCTAATTTGTCCTTCCTTTATTCCCCACTAACTCCTTCAAGTTTTACCTCATGGATCAACCTCTGTGGAATGCCTTGTCTAAACTGGTCTGTATTAGGTGTGTTTTTCTGTGTAGTAATGATAAAAATAATAGTTTGGAATACTTTGTGTTTATAAAAGCAATGTTAATCACATCACATGCATCTATGATTTTCAAGATTTTTTTTAGTTATCTTTACTTCAAATATCTTGTGTTATATCTTCACGTACAAGTCTTTCTGAAATCCTAGGACTCTGAGGAAACAGTTGGATTGCTGAAATATATGTGCATCATTGTCATTTAATTCTTGCACAGTGTAAGTTGATTATTTTTTGTCTTCATTAAAAAAAGGTAGTGGAGTGTGAGAAGTTAACTAAATTGTGTCACATTAGAGACAGCTGCAGTCTGAAAAGGATTTCACTGTAGAGCTGTTGCATCTATTGTATTGTTTTTCAGAGATACTCAGGACAAACTCTCAGTTATCTTTGTGTTTGCAGTGGCTAGTACTATGCATCATCTATAACAAGTGCCTAGTAAACCAGGCACTCTAAAGAACTGGACTCTTCAGTCTCTCTCTCTCTCTCTCTCTCTCTCTCTCTCTCTCTCTCTCTCACACACACACACACACACACCCACATAGAGTCACTGGAGCTGTAAAAATTTCATAGGTGGAACTACAAGATAAATCAAATTTTCCATAAACTTTTTGAATTTTCCTCATTTATGCAACTTGGCATTGTACACTTTAAGTTTTGATATGTTTAAGCAGCCTAATATCATTTCAGTAAAATAAACCTTTAAGCAAAACAACAATAAAGCATAATGTTGTGTTTCAATTGTGACTATTTTAAAATGCTAAGTTGAGAATTTTGCCAAGGCATATAGTTTAGTGTTGCCATGATTTTCAGCTCTAGTTATTTAAATATTTAATATTTTAAGATAATTGTTAACATTTTATGCCGCTTGCTAAAGTGAGTCGTATACACGCTGTGCACAAGGCATTGGATGAAAGATGTAGAGGTGCAGGATATGGAGAAAATAGCTGAAGGTGCAGGAAATAACATTCATCGTTTTTTGGTGCTGAAACCTTTGAGCAGCATTAGCACGTCTTTCTAAACATTAGGTGGTGGGCATTGGGCGCAGTGGTGCAGTTGTCGTTTGTGGCATCCACATTCATATCAGAGTACTTGAGTCTGAGTCCTGGCTCCACTTCTGATTCCAGCTTCCAGATGGTGCACATCCTGGCTGGCAGCACACGATGGCTCAAATCGTTGGGTCTTTTATCCTTGGGCGATACCTTGAGAGTTGAGTTGAGATTTGGGTTTGTCCTGCCCCAGCCCTGGCTGTTGGGGGCATGTAGGAACTGAACTACCAAATGGAAAAACTGTGTTTCTCTCTCTCTCTCAATCTCTGTGTGTTAATTTAAATAGTATTTGCATATTTAAAATATATGTGTTCTTCAAATACTTATTGTCAGAATCTACAATATAATAGAAACTTTGAGTGTAGATTGAGTAACTTGACAATATATGTGTGCCATGCAAAGTTTCAAGTTGGTTATACTGCTTCATAAAAATGCAGAAATAGACGACATGTCTGGAGGCCTCCCTGAGCAGGGCATCTAATAGGAGGTTAACTTACATAAATCCAGGTCTGCAATATGCTACCCTCTACATGTCAGATATCAGGATATCCTTTCCAGACTGCAAGGAAAACTTCATGTCTTCAGCTTTGTAGAAGACAATGGTAATGTTTTATGGAGTTAAAAAGTATGAGCTCATGCTGCCAGCACTTTGGCTTGCTTACTCAAAACACACTGAGAATAAGTAGATGTCATCATTCATTGGACATTGAAAAGTTCAGCAAGCAATATACTTTGAGCATCCCCAAAAAGTACTGATATGAACTCACTTCTGGTCAGTCTGTGTGTGCTTTGGTTGAATCACATCTACCTCCTGGTTGCCATTGTTTTGATTATGCTTTGTCTTCAGGAACATTTTGGTAAAGGTATGCTTCATTTCCATTGCCATTCTGAAAAGAAATTGACATCTTAAAGATGTCAATTCCAGTTGTTTAAAATTTCCACTGAAAGTGCTCCTCTTGTCTGTAGCTGATTTGGATACAACAGTATGAACTTTTTAAAAACTCCTGGTGCATTTAACATATTAATTACTCTTTGAACATGTGCTTCTGGATGAGAACTGTATCTGAGGTGTTGGCAGTATAGAATATCTGTAAGAATCCATAGTTCTCTGCTGGCTTACACCCCTAAAATTAAACTTGGTTGAGTAAATGTGAGAACTTATGCGAGGCCATGTAGGCATAACTGTTAAAATGTTTTCTACAGTATGTAAATATCTATATATATTTTTTTTTAAATAAAAGATAATCACAACACCTACCCCTGAGTTCTATTTTTGTACAATTATGATGAATTTACTTCCTTCTGAGATTTATTTCCTGCAAAGTAGAAATGTAACAGTTCTATTTCCTTCACTGAACACTTTCTCATTCTTTATATTTAGGTTATCTTCATTGTAATGAGTATGATAATCTGAGATTGAGATGGCTAAAGCAGACATTAGAATCTTTCATCCCACAGCCCGTGATAAATGCAATTAAAGTGTCTGCATTGGATGGCAGAGACATAGGAGAAGCTCAGCCTGAGAGGTTTGACAAGGTACTTTTGCATCATGATGCACAATCATTGATAGGAGAATTATGTTGCTTTGCTGTTGATTTCTGTTTGCTGCCAGACATGCCCTGACACTGTTTCTCAGTACTCTGGGAAATTCTGAAAAAATGACCATAGAGGCAGTTATTGGATCGTAAGTGTGGTTCCAAAGAAGCAATGCCAGTTGGATTAGGGATTATAGAATGTTTTGTATTTCCAGGTAACTGAAAGGTAACTCTGAAGCATTGGATGTTATTGGAGTCAATATACAAACATGGGCACCTTATTGGTTCAATTCAGTAACATTTCACATGAGAATATCAAATTTTTTAAAAAGTCATTTCAGTCAACCAGTATTAACTCTTGAAATAAATGCTCAGAATTCATAAATACTCATTTGGTGATGTCCTAGATGGGTAATATCTGTTAAGGCTTTTTTTAAAAAGTATTAATCAAGACTGTCAAAACTAATTAGTAGGTGTAAGTAAATGCTAGTCCTCCTATGCCCTCCCTATCCCAAAGAAAGTAAGAAACGCTGAAAGTTAGATAGGAATTTTTTTCTGAACGTATTTTTTCTAAAATTGTATTTTCAGTTACAAAAGAAATGTCTTTTTTTCTTGGCTCTTTGTCATATTTTATATAGCTTCTCTGTTTACTTTGAGCCTGAGAATGTACTTTCCACTCAGAGTTGCCTTGTTTGTACATTTGCTTTTCCAGGTGTTAGTTGACGCTCCATGCTCAAATGATCGAAGTTGGTTGTTCTCTTCAGATTCACAAAAGGCTGCTCACAGGATAAGGCAGAGAAGGAGTTTGCCTATTCTACAAATGGAACTCTTGAGGTGAGCACTGTCAATACAAACTGTCTTTTGGCTTTCCATATTATTCAAATAGGAACAACAAAACATGGCAGGCCCCCAGATAAAGGGCTTCCTGGATAGGTGCCAGTGATTATTCCAACAAAACCTGCTTCTCAGGTTGTAATACCCACCCCCAGTGAAATGTAGCATGCTGGCTGTTGGCTTTGTAGTCTCAGGTTCATCATGGTGTTCCTTGTGTTAGCAGAATCCGAGCAGCCCCTTCCATCCCTCTGTAAAAGTTGCTGAAGAAGAGGATGTATTGTTTGGTAATGTTGTGGATGTGTCACCCTTTTAGGAAGTTGTTAGTACTCAGTTATTCATTGTTAGTACTCAGTTTCCTTCTAAGAATGTTCCAGAATGGCCTGGCTACCAAGCGATGGAGTGGGTCTTCCAAATGTGTAGAGTGTTTATTATGAAGCAATCTGAACATGATTGCAAAATATTTTATACTAACATAAGCTTATATTTTAATTCCACTTTTCCACAAACCCTTTAAGGTGCATTTGTATATATTTTTTCAAAACAGAGATATTTGGGTACAGTGTTGTTATGATTTCAGATTATGCCTCATTACCAAGGAATTCTTTCCTGTTCGTGATATGGTATGGCTCTGTATTTTATACTCCATATACTGCTTTTTCTCCTAATTTGTTTTAATTCATTGTATTTTATCTTTTATTTCTTATACTTTAAAAAAAAATTTTTAAAGATGTATTTAATTTTATTGCAAAGTCAGATATACAGAGAGGAGGTGAGACAGAGAGGAAGATCTTCTGTCCAATGATTCACTCCACAAGTGAGCGCATGGCCGGTGCTTTACTGATCCAAAGCCAGTAGCCAGGAACTTCCTCCAGGTCTCCCACACAAGTGCAGGGTCCCAAGGCCTTGGGCAGTCCTCCACTGCTTTCCCAGGCCACGAGCAAGGAGTTGGATGGGAAGTGGAGCTGCCGGGATTAGAACTGGCACCCATATGGGATCCTGGCGTGTTCAAGGCGAGGACTTTAGCTGCTACGCCACCACGCCGGGCCCTATATTCTTTAAAAAAAAAAAAAGATTTATTTACCTTATGGGAAAGTCAGATATACAGAGAGGAGTAGAGACAGAGAAGATGATCTTCCATCCAATGATTCACTCCCCAAGTAGCCTTAATGACCGGGCAGCGCTGATCAGAAGCCAGGAGCTTCATCTGGATCATCCATGTGGGTGCAGGGTCCCAACGTTTTGGGTCAGCCTCCACTGCTTTCCAGGCCACAATGCAGCGATCTGGTTGGGAAGTGGGGTCACTGGGATTAGAACCGGTTCCCATAGAGGATCCTGGCATTTGCAAGGCAAGGACTTTAGCCACTACTAACTAGGCTACCATGCTGGGCCCTATTTCTTATACCCTTATAAACCCATTCTTATTAGAGTTTCTAAGAACTCCATAATTGGCAAAAAAAGATATTTTTGTGATTTTACCTGATCTATTTTTAAAGTGTATTTAATAATTTTTTTAATTTTACAATTTATTTATTTGAAATTAGAAATTGAAAGATCCCTCTAATTTATTCCTTGATTTGACCACCACAACTGGCTTTGTTCCAGGTTAAGGTCAGGAGCCAGAATCTCCATTCTGGACTCTCTTCCTGGTCCATCTTCTTGGCCTTTTTTGGCTGCTCAGGCTTCTTCATGCCATGTTGACATCAGGCGTGGCACTTGTTACTCTTCTCCCAGACCCCATTATCTTCTGCTTTTTTTTTTTAAGTTTTACAACTGTCTCTTTGTTCCAATTGAACAGGTGCATTAGCCTTTTTCTGATTCAAGCAAGAAGTAGAACCGAGTATCAGTTCAATGGCAGTGCTGAATTGTTCTCTGAAAAGGCTGCTGCACTTTGTTGATTCTCACATTCTACTCCCTTGACATTCATGATCTTCCTCTTTGGCCTCCCCCCCAGCACCCCCATCTCCACCACACACTCTTCTTTGGTTATGCGTTCCCTGTTTTTCTTAATTTGTTTGTGATTGACTCATTTTTTATTTCATTTGTCTATTGATATTACTCCTTTTCTCAGTCTGGTGACCTCTATTACAAAAGACTGTCTCAAACAGGAGTGTATGTCTCAGCTCAAATTGGTCTGCTTAACCTTAAATCTACATGTTCAGTTACTTGGTAGATATTTCCAAACACATAAAACTCAACTAGTCAAAATAAAACTCGTATTCCAGTGCTCTGTGAGTCCCTTCTCCTCTAAATTGGAGCAGAAATCTCACCAATGTGCATCTTCTTGCTCTTACCCTTTTAGTAAATGCTATATGTTGATACAGTCCTAAGCAGGCTGCAAGTTCAGGGTCACTAGTTTGGAAGTCACACCTCCCCCACCTGTATAAGCCTTTTTGTGAGTCAAAGGACCCTAACCTATCATTACCTGGAGCCTGAGGGAGCCCTTGTTGCATAACCTTTCCTTTAAAGCCACTTAAAAAGCCATTTTGAAGAGGGGCTTTCGCTCTCTTCCTTGTCTGCTAGGCCTCCTCATGGTGCCATCATTTGCCCTCTGGCTCTCTTCCTTTCACTCCCTGGGGCTCCTGCCCTGTGGCATACCTGTTTGCTCTCAGATTCTGAGGACTAGAGGAGCAATCTCTCTCTTATCATCAGATAGCTCTATTATGTCACTACACCACTTAAAAGAAGTCTCTTGGCCTGTCTTCACAATCCCCTTGGTTACTACTTTACCTGTCTTTTTTCCTCTTTTTTCTTTTTTTAAAGATTTATTTATTTTTATTGGAAAGGCAGATGTACAGAGAGGAGGAGAGACAGAGAGGAAATCTTCCATCCGATGGTTCACTCCCCAAGTGGCTGCAACAACTGGAGCTCAGCCAATCCAAAGCCAGGAGCTAGGAATTACCTCTGGGTTTTCCAACATGGGTGTAGGGTCCCAAAGCTTTGGGTTGTCCTGTACTGCTTTCCCAGGCCACAAAGCAGGGATCTGGATAGGAAGTGGGACTGCAGAGATTGGAATAGGCACCCATATGGGATCCTGGTGCACTCAAAGTGAGGACTTTAGCTGCTAGGCTACAGCGCTGAGGCCCTACTTTACCTTTCTTTAACACAAGATAGCCCTTTTATTCTACTTTAAGACACAAAAAAAATTTAAAATGCAAATGTACATTAATTTGATGAGTTTCAGACTATGAAGGACTGATAGCAGATCTTTATTTGCATTTTGAAAGAGCAATTAGAAAGTAAGCGAGCAGACATTCCCTGGTCTGATATTGTGAACATTATTAGATGGTCCTCAGGAGGGAGAAAATGTGAGGATAGTCACAGAGCAAAAACTTAGAAGTTTTTGAGTGAGGTATCTTGTTGAAGACTGAACTTTCCACTGAAAGGGCAGATTTATAGAGAGAAGGAACAATACAAGGAATATCTTCCATCTGCTGGTTCATTCCCAAAATGTCCACAATGGCTGGAACTGGGCCATTCTTAGGCCAGGAACAAGGAGCTTCTTGTGGGTCTGCCAGTTGGGTTCAGGGACCAAGGATTTGGGGCAACCTCCACTGCTTTCCCTGCCCATAGACAAGGAGCTGGATGGGAAATAGAGGAGCCAGGACATAAGCCAATACCCATATGGGATGCTGGTGCTTGCAGATGGAGGATTAAGCCGTTGAACCACTGTGCTTGCTCCTGTCAAGCTCTCATGAGTTCCAGTAGTCTGTCAGTAGAGTCCTTTGGTCCACCGATATGTAGAATCGTACTATCTGCCAGCGGGAATAATTTGGCTTCCTCCTTTTCAATTTGAACTCCTTTGTTTTTTTCTTGCTTGATGGCTCTGGCTAAAACTTTCAGAGCTATATTGAATAGCAGACCTGAAAATGGACATCCTTATCTTATTTCGTATGTCAGTAGAAATGCTTCCAACTCTCCCACATTTAATATGATATAGGCTATGGGCTCGTCATGTATTGCCTTCATTTTGTTGAGGGATGTTCTTTCTGTGCCCAGTTTGTTTATTTTTTTAATCATAAATGGATTTTGTTTTTATTAAATGCTCTTTTGCATGTATTGAGATAATTATAGGGTTTTTTTCCTGCAGGTTGTTTGTATGATTTGTCAGTGTCACATGTATTGATTTGCATATTTTTACCAGGAATAAATCCCTCCAGATACAGGTGAATGATATTTCCTATTTTCTAGTATTTTGTTGAGGAATTTTGCATCTATGTGCCTCAAGGATTTTATTATTTAGTTATTTTTTTGCTGTGCATTTTTTATGGTTTAGTATTTAAGATACTGGCTTATTTTATTGGAAATACAGAGTTATGGAGAGTTAGAGATAGATGGAAAAAGAGAGAGAGAGAGAGTGCTTCCATCTACTGATTGACTCCCCAGTTGGTCAAAGTGGCTGGGTTTGGGACTAGGCCAGGCCAAGGTCAAGAGGCTGGATCTCTCACATGGGTCCAGGGGCCCAAGGACTTGGGCCAGGCTCCACTACCTTCCCACACATGTTACTGAGATGCTGACTCAGAAGTGGAACAGCCAGGACTGAAACAGGATGTCAGCATTGCAAGTAGAGGCCTAGCCTGTTACACCACGATGCCAGGTGGTACTTCAAGTATTTAAAGCCATATTATTTACTAGCATACAGTTTTTGTTTTTCTTTTCTGTGGCTTTGTACTATCTGAAAAACCTATGCAATCTGTGCACCTTGTCTGTGAAAGACCACACTATACAATCCGTTCTTGCTCTTGAGTCAGACAGTACTCAATTATCTGTGCATTTGGGTATTACCTAATCTGAATAACTCCATCACTTAACACAACTGTTTTATGTACTGTGAGGAGCTACTGAAATACTTTCAGTAGCAAAATGGCATAGTTGCATGTATTATAGAAGCATTCCTTAATTCCACATAGGGAATGGATGCAAAGGAGCTAATGGAAAAAGGAAAACTTGTTTGAGAGCTGTGCAAATTTCACAGAGGGCTCATGATTATTAAGGGTTAAAGT